CTAAAGGAGCATAAACTACATGTATAGGCTTGCTTTGTTTTAGGTGACAAACCATTCAACAAGGTAGCTCCTCAGTTGGCAAAGTTCTTTTTTGAGTGCTCCTCATTTGGTCTTGGAATAAAAAGGTTATTATGTCTAGATTCCCAGAGATTATATATGTAGCTGGCGTTTGGAAAGATGAATTTTTCTGAAATGTGTTTGGGGACCTGTTTAATCATAGTCTTGTACATAACTTATCTCGTGCATCACTTAAGCTTGGTCAGTTAAGATCACAAAGAATCTGAGAAAATCTAACATCCCAGTCAGATCACGCAAGAGGCCCTATTTTGGAACCTTTCTAGCTTGAGACTGAGAAATTAACCAATAAATTTACCAATACATCCCCATGCAGCACTACAATAATCAAAGAGTGGTAGACTGAGAGATATATAAATTGCTGTCAAAATATTTTAGGGAAGTATTGGTTTCAGTCTTCTAAAGGCAACAAAAACTTTTTCCACCTTAATTAAATGGCTTTCGAGATAAGGGAGTCCCAGGAGAGGGGTTCACCTAGATGGCCTCCGAGGCATTTATAATATTCATGACCAGGTTCTGCTTTGATGTCAATCAAGACTAATGACAAGTTGATTGAGAAGCAGTGATATTTTAAGTCAGGTCCAGATGAACACACATTTTGTCTTGACAATGTTAAAGTGAAGACAATTAGCATGTAGCCATTGTTTGAAAGCGATTAAGTCATGACTTAATGCTGAAGAGAGCACTTCATGATTTGTTACATGAAGCAGAAAAGTGAGATCTACATCATCAGTATACATTCAAGCAATTGAGAGAAGATTGCAGTTAAGTTAGTCATTAATAGCTAATAGAAAAACAGGGAACCAAGTACCTCGGGGTACTCCACAGTGCAAAGCACAGGGTTCTGACTTAACATTGTTTAGCGACATAACCTGCATTCTCTGAGAAAGATAGTTTCTGCACAACTATAGAGCGCTATCCTTGAAACCATACAGTTCTCAGAAGGATTTCATGGTCAGTGGTATCAAATCCCTTTTTAAGATCAATGAAAAGAGTAACATTTGTTGAACCATTATTGATGTTAAGATACCAGTTATCCATGGCATCAAGAAGAGCAGTCAGAGTAGAGTGGAGTGGTCTACAACCAGACTGGAACTTAATTGGTAAGAAGATCATAATCACTAAGGGACTATGCCATTATAATTGTCAGGATGCAGGGCTCCAAAATGAGCCTAACATAGAGAAATATTATGTTGTGCCCGATACTTGTATGCCTGGTTAAAAAAAGGCTTTGAATTCTCAAATTATATATTTTTCAAGCAGTTGCTCTACCACCCCAGCCAAACAGATACAAAGTTGGCGTAGTAGCTAACCAGCTTTACCAACTTAATAAAGATAATGATAATGAAGTCAATACCAGACACAACTTGGTCCTACCCATTTTCCCGTGTTTGGCGCAGGTTACAAATGTTTGGTACGTGTGTTCTCATTGCTTTGGTATGGGGTTCATGACACTCAACCAAAACCAACAACTATTACCTATCTGCAAAATTTTAAATTTCTATATGATTAAAATCATACTTTTTGATTTTCCATTAAGTTTGGCCTCCTTCCTTTGTTTTCGAAGATGTTCCCTAACCTGCAAGGAGAAAAGTGGAAATGTTAACCTGAGGCTTTCAGTGGCCTTCCCGGAGTCAGTCAACGCAAGATCCTTGACCATACGTTCTACTATGATGTCTACTGAACCATGCTTTCGACCAAAAGACAAGCGAATTTCGAGCAGTAACAGATGTCGAGTAGCAGTATCTCTAAACAATCCAGACTATCGTTACTCGTGTACAATCAAGCTTAAGCTTAACTTTCCAAATAGCTATACCAGGACACTTATTCTACGCTTTTTAGGGGATCTTTAATATTCCAACAATGCAGAAACCTTTCGCTGTATTTTGTATCGCTTGTGAGCTGTCATCCTCTTGCTCTGTTTTTCTGTAAGAAAGACTTTACATTAGCACCATAAAAATACACTGAGCGGAAGTGAGAAAACCAGAACTTACTTGGTCGAACCATGCTAAATGTTCTGCTCCCTCACCACGTGAAGGTGTTTCGACAATATGGCGGACTAGTTTCCAGTCTTCCAGCGATAACAAGCCCGTGACGTAATGTTAGGGACTCTGAAATTTCTCTCCTCCAGCCGGGGTTTAGGTAGCCTGCGTCGCAGACAGTCTAAACCGCCGGTATAGTCCGGAGATTTTGTGACACGTCCGGCTGCAACGCAGGCTAGGATTTAGGGAGTTTGAGAAAACGACGGCGACGTCGTCACGTCGAGGATAACGTCGATTTAAAAAATGAGTTTATATTTTACCTACGAATCTCGTGGTACTCTAGAGTCATTTAATTTGTTTATCACTGTCAAAGTTATCACGAAACTGAATCT